GGGGGTATATGGGGATGGCGGTTGGTGGGGCTATCCGGGGTTATGGACCCCACAGGGGAAAAAAAAAAAAACACGGCGTGCCACCCGACAGCGAGTAGATGCCGACGGATGGGACGGTCGGCTGATCTTCGCCAACCAATCCAGGGGCGGCGATCGTCAGTGTGACTTTTTTCATTACATCATCGATTTAACACAAAGTAACACAATATTACCCATAATAATGATGATGATGATGCTGATGCTGCTGCTGCTGATGATGATGATGATGATGTCTCACCTCTGGTGGACCGAACTCTTCAAGCTTGCCGTGATCCAGTAGGGCAATCTTGTCCACGTCTATAATCGTGTCCATCCGATGAGCTATGATTAGCACCGTGCTATTCACGAACCTCTCCCTGCAGACCATTCAAGCATTGGAAGACATTTAGAACTTCAGAAACTGACTTTACCACTTTCCTTAAGTGAAACCAAGAGAAAATGAAATGAAAAGTAGAAAACAAACATAACATCAAGCTGGCTATGGTCATGCAAGAAAGAAGAACAACTATGATGACTATTGATAACAATGATACGGCAAGCTGCACTGACTGTGTGTGATGTGGTCGTCCATGATTGTTTCGGACTTCGACTTGTGTTTCAGACTTCGACTTGATCTGCAACGTGACCACGGAACGAGGATCTATGACTCCGAAGATTTGGACGATGATGGTCGCTGCAGTGCAACTTGCAATGCACAACGATGTAGTGCAGCCTACGGTGATATGCGACACAGCGATTCCACGCCTGTCCTGTTACAGATTTGGATGATGATGGTCGCTGCAGTGCAACTTGCAATGCACAATGATGTCGTAGTGCAGCCGACGGTGATATGTGACACAGCGATTCCGCACCTGTCCTGTGACAGAAACCCTCACAAGGGAATGGACACGCTGGGCGGCAAAGGTAACCAGCGCTGAATTCCGCGTTTCAATTATTCCCCAAAAAAAGGAGTTCGGAAAAGAAGAAATGTTGTGCAGGACTGTGAGTCAAACAACTTTTGGCTGACCGTCTCTTCAAAATTCCTAGCCAATTGCTGGAGTCTGGAAACCAATTTCCGGCCGAAAAAAAAAGTACAATTTTGAATTTTGAGGCCCATGTCCTTGGCCACACGCCGCATCTGATGCTGTATCAATGGGACGTTGAGCCCGGTTCTCAGCCTGTGTCGCTCCCCATGAATAAGAATGGATGGAGTCGTCAACTCCGGGGACCGCTATTACGAGCATGTGCTCCTACTCCTGCCTGTAGTAGAGGTCCTCCGTGCGGTTTGGAAAAAAAAGAAAGGTATAATTTGCAAAATACCCCCATAAGTTAAGATATATGCCAAAAAATGCCCCTGACAGATGTGGGTGGAGAAGAATGCCCCTCTGACAGAAAAACAAAATTTGTGAAATACCCCTCGCCTCAGTTGGACCCCCATCTTTGCGATACACCCGTACCGCGTACCATCCAACTTTGCAATATACCCCCGTACTTGCCAACTTTTCCAAGGCTCGGTTGCAAAAGGCCAAGGCCCAAACAGCGAGGTCCAGACTGCAAATTTGCACACCCGGCTGACAGGGGCATAACACAAAGATTTCGGCCCAAAAGGACATTCCGCTCTGCCCACATCTTCCAGGGGCGTTGTGGCATATACCTTAACTTATGGGGGTGTTTTGCAAATTACCAAAGAAAAATCAAATAAAAAAATGGAATGATATAGAAGAAGATTAGCACCGCCCCTGCACAAGGACGACACATATAAATCGAGAAATGGGCCAAAAACAAAAAACAGGAAAACTTCAAAAAAGAGGCCCACAACATGAAAAGAAAGAGCTCGTTGTCGCGCGTCTACCAAGCAATGCAGCACTTGAAGAGATCCTCAGGAATTTGAGCAGGGGCAGAGTCGACCTTCAGTAGTTCTGGCTTGGGATAGAACAGAATAGTCAACAATATACCTGGTTTCCAGCACGCTACCCCATGACTCCTGCTTTTTTTCCCAATTGTAAGGGACGCTGGACCCGTTTTCCAGCAGGTGCTGCTCCCCGCCAATAGATGGAGCCCACCTGGAGTGCTAGCATTGACTGCTGTTGTAAAAAAAAAAAAAAAAAAGACCTTCAGTAGTTCAACTCACTTGCCCCTGCATCTTTCAATATCTACACCTGAGGTCGAACCCCGAGCCCAGCAGATATCAGTATGTGAGTACCTGAGGATGCAAATAGAAAAGGGGCCGGTCCGCCCGCCCTGTATGGCCAATACTGGCCCCAAAAATCATCAAAACATTTTTCAGGGGGCGCCCTGGACCCAAGAAACAGATGTAGGGTGCACCCTTATTGTTTTGAATTTCGGGGTTTTGGCCCCTTCCGGACGGGCCTCCTACGGTCCGACGTCCAGACACCGGACAGCAGACCGTCTGGACGCCTGTCCGGATGTCGGGATGGTAGCCATGCTTTCTGGCTTTCAATGAGATGATGCAATTTAGTTTCTATACCTCGCGTGACTCATTTTCCTTACAGCAAACCATTTCAAAGTTCAAACCGGAAACCTTAAACCCTAAAATCCAAAGAGTTCATAAACAAGAAAAACAAGTGGGGGGGGTGGGGGGGGGGGGAAGGAGGGGGTTAAAAAAAGGAAAAAGAAAGGGGCGTTGAACACCCAGACTGTGGATACCTGAGTGTGGTCTGAATCTGTGCATCTGTTTCGAGGTCCACATTTGCAGTTGCTTCATCCATGATGAGAATCTTGCTCTTCTGCAGGATGGCCCTGTTCACAGTTCGTCAATGTTTGAGGCAGCAGAAAGAGAGAAAAAAAAACTGTTAGCACAGAATCGTAGTTTTCACTCAGAGAGTCAGATGTGAGATCCAAAAGAAGGAAAGCTATATATTGTAACATAACTATGAACTAAAAGAGCGTAATTTGCGAAACAAACGGCAAAAAAAAAAAAAAAAAAAAAAAAAAAGACAAACATGAAGGGTACAGTGAAACCATTCATTTTACTCATTCTTCTTTTGACTCCCCTTTCACCGTGCCTCTAACGTACAAGGCTCACCACGTTGATGAAGTTGAGTGAGAGCTGCCCCGCCCCCATCCCCGTGTGCCATAACAGCCCACTTGTACGCTGTGAGAAAGAGGCAGAGTGAAGGGGGAGGGGATAAACACAGGGAGGAGAGCAGACAAACAAAGAACGATAAAGGGAAAGTAAGGGAAAGTATGGAGTGTGGAGTGAAGATAAAGGCAAAAGAGGATAAGAAAAGGCTCAAGAATGAGTCTGTCCTTGACGACAGAGAGGACATACATTGTAAGGATGACGTGGATGAACACATGGAAGACCTAGCTGAGCATTCTCAGTGCAACAATTGCCACGACGGGTGGCATTGAGCATGCCCGCCATACACCCTCGACAAATGGCATGTCGATTTCAGGCCAAAATGAAAGAAGAACGATCACCACAAAAGAGCATGCATTCAGTATAGCGCCCATGGCCGCAAAATGGACATATAGTGTCCAGATGCAGAGGGTGCCTGCAGTCAGGAACGGTGGGACAGTCCTCTGCACACATGGATGCAGAAACCATGTCATTGTAGTGATTGTGACAGAGACGATGGCGGCTACAGCCGAGTGTAACAGTGTTTGTGGTTGTGCAAACGAGAAGGTCGCAGAGTGTTGGTACATTGTCTTGCTGCAGCACCGGGCCAGAGGAATGATCTTCGACATAAAAGAGATTGCGGACGGTTTGTTGTGGCAAGAAAACAACATCATTTTGTAAGAAATCAGTGACATCAATCATGGCATGGACCATGGTGCCATTGTCCCATAACTCCCAGTGGTTAGAGGCATGTACAATGGCCATGTAATGGCTAGGGCCGCGCACAATGCAGGCAGAGATGTGGGATGGAGGATTAAACCACTCACCTGCTCGAGCATTGCGTAGTTCAAGTTGACGGTCCCTCATTGCTACTTGTAGGACAGCAATGGTAAAGCCTCCTTCGCTGGTATAATTACAATCCTCTGGCTGTCGTTGGGGAAGATCAGCATCAAGCTGAAGGGGGATTGCAAGGAAGTCTGATGGTGTATAAAACGGGCGATACAGAATGTGAAGACATATATTAGTTGCTGTCGGACCACAGAGATTGGTGAGGTTCTCAGGCTGGTTCCCATGTGGTCTGCGCGCGGCGGAGCACAAAATTGTGGTTCATCCGAACAATGCTGGTCAGCCATTTGCAGATCTCCCATGTGGTCTACGCCTTGCGGGGTCAACTGCAATCCGGGCAGATCATGTTCCAATCCCTCAACGTTTAGGGCTGCATCCTGAGTAGGGACTGTACCTGGTCGGGAGTGTACTCTGGGCAGCGGCTGCATCCCGAGTAGGGACTGGTGGCTGCCTGCAGGCAGCTGGACTGTCTGCAGGAGGCATAGGAGCGGATATTGCCGTTTGAAACAAAGGAACCGTAACAACCTGTGGAGGCGGCACAGAGAGAATCGGGGCAGACAAAGAAACAGGTTGCTGATCCCCGGACACGTGACGATGCCGCGGACAAACTGTTTCGTCGGAGTTTCACCGACTCATCAGGAGGCTGAACCCTCAACAGTCTGTAGAATCCCCTCACTGATTACACTGTAAATGATAATCTACCTTAACCAAANCACTGTAAATGATAATCTACCTTAACCAAAATCAAAGTAGACTATCACTCACCCACACCAGATGGAAAACTCTACAGACTGTCGGTTCACACCTATATATATATATATATATATATTACGGTTTACCGGGCAACTCTGTTTGATGATACAGCTAACGATCGGAGGTAAGCATGGCGGGATACACGTAGACTTCCGGTAGTGTTTCAGGTTCTGCTACCAGGGGATGAGAGAAGGTTCCGGGTCGAAGCAAGGGCCCGACATCTGCAGATCGCTAGGGAGGCAGCAGCAGCTGCAGAACAAACGTTAGTGGCAGCAGCAGCTAGCGTGGTAGCAATGGCTACATCTGCAGCGACTTCGCAAGGTCAGCAGACGTCAGGAACTTTCGCAATGTCCTTTGCCTCATCTAGTGGGACAGGTGCAGGGCCCTCCATAAGTCGGATGGCGGGCTCGCAGTTTAGCCAACCACCTCCACCTAATAGAGAGAAGTTAGAACTCCAGCAGGTAGAGTTACTCCGCTTACAGTTAGAGAAGCAACTCAGAGATGCAACCAAAAGAGAGGATCAGATTAGAAATAGAAAAACTAGATCGGAGAGCAGAGAGGAGGTTCTTTCTTTTCTTTCCTTACTTTGGCTTTTTTTTTTTTTTGCGGCTTCCATTTTATTCACTCTTCTTTTAGCTCCTCTTTACCAAGCCTCTTACGTACGATGTTGATGAAGTTCAGGGCGAGCTGCATGGATCCCCATGTGACAGCCCACTGGTACACTGAAAAAGAGGCAAGAGTGAAGGGAGAGGGGAGAAGACAAAGGAAACGTAAGGAGCATGGAATGAAGATGAAAGCATAGGAAAAGGATAAGGGACAGCTCGGGAGTCTGTCCTTTACGTCAAAGAGCACATGCGGCTGTGTCCCACAACACTTGCCACGGTGGCTGTAATCACTGCCAAAATTTTAACTATGCAATTCTTAGGCAGGTGAGTGGTTTCATCCTCCATCCCACATCTCTGCCTGCCTTGTACGCGGCCCTGACCACTACTGAAAGCTGCGGGACAGCGGTTTCATGCTCCATTCCATGACGGATGCCATCATGTCTTGGTACTGCTCAACGACCTGCAAGACTGCATATCCACATTCATCCTGATGGGAATCCTACCGTCTTCACCGGGATAAAACGTATGGTCATTATAGCGGTATCTAGACTGAAATGTGGCCCAAATTCGGCCATAATGACCCTACGTTTTATTCGGGTGAAGACGGTAGCCGTTGCAAACTCTTTGTCGCCTATGTACATAGTTCTCTCCAAATTGGACGACTTGCACAAGTGGTACGAACAGGAAGACGAACAAGACGAACACAGGTTCCAGTGGAGTGCGAACTCAGGTCTGTATTTCAAGTTTCAACAGTTCTGCAATGACTTGCTGTTTTCTGGTCGTCTGTAGCCTCTCTCTGTCGAGGCTGTACTTAGGCTGGACAGATTCGTAATTTTGTTTGACTGAGGGCTAACCGAGAGACCTACCTGTAAGGAAAATTCGAGAGGGACATATCTGTAAATACGGGAAAATACAGGCCCGTACTAACTGAATTTCCTACAGCTACCCTAACTGCGAATAGCAGGCCCGGGCTACCACTAGGACGGACAGGCCCTAAGGGCCTAAGCTGTTAGATGGCCCCATAGCCTATGGCCGGGCAGGGAGAGGCCCTAGAGGCCGAAACAGAATCGGTACCGGTCGGTCAGTCAGTCCGGTCTAGGTTGAGTCTAGGCTAGAGTAGCCGATAGATAGGTTAGGCACATCGGTTCAGGGCTTTTGGCAGTTGGTACCGAGTACATCGCTGCTGTGCAACACGTGAACTGGAAGTGGTGACGGCTTGGCGTTGAGGGAGACAGACATAGCCAGACCTTCGGAGCGCCGGCCAGAGCTGCGACCTGCGCTGTACTCTGTCAGCACGCAGGGCTGTACAGAGGTCTGGGCTATTCGAGGTCTGCTGGAGGCGAGAGAAGTTGGTGCCCTGCTGGACCCTCCTCCGGAGTGGGGTCACAGGGTTGTGGCGCTGCAGCCATAGCTGCAGCTTCCTCCTCAGCGGTCATCTTGTCAGGATTTGGTGGCGCTGCTTCAGACTTCCACCCGGGAAGTCTTCCGACACTTCGTCACCATCAGTTACTGTGGTGCTGGTCTTCTTCTTCATCCTCTGAGTGGCGCTTGGCCTCAGAGGCCTGTTTCATGTTGGCGCTTCCCTTTGGAGGCTGTATCTGGGTGGCGCTTGATGTTTCAGGGACTCAGGGGTAGTGATAGCAGTTCATCAGGGTTGGGGAGTGAAGCACTTCTCATCTCTGAGCAGCGCACCATAGTTCTGAAGTTATTCTGACAATTTGAGACTCTGAGTATAATAAACAGTAGTGATACTGGGTTTGGACTATCATCGTTTCATTGTTTCCTGGATGTGATCTACTCGGCTTTCCTTTATGACTGGTTGTGAGGATTGAGTGGAGTGAATTGCACTTTCAGTGTACCCTGTCATATCCCATGGTTGTCATATCGCATGGTCAAGTCTTCCGCTGTGTTTATCTCTCCCTGTGCGGTGTGATACTCCTATCCTCTCCCCTTCCTTCTGTGTATGTATGGGCATACCTGGGAGTATATGTGAGTGAGTGTTGGTCTTCAGACAACAGACAACCAGAATCATAACAGTTCAGTGGTGTACGAACTGAGCCACGCTAGCTGGTACTCGCGGCCGTCGCCCTTTTTTCAAGAGAGAAAAAAAAAGGACGAACGATACACAGAAGATTAGCACAGCCGTCATTCGGAACATCCGTTAAAATTGGAATGATACATGGACTGAAGATGAGCATGGCCCCCGCACAAGCCTGACACACATAAATCGAGAAATGGTTCAATTTTTTTGGTAAAAAAAACAAAACATTAGTATGGCCCCTGCTTAACCATGACACACAGAAACCGAGAACAGGTCCAATTAAGAGAAAGGAAAAAAGAAGAGATAACTCAGATAAGATGAAAGCAAACCTGGCCAAACAGCACATTTGTCTTTCGCCAACCGAGAAATTATCGCCAAACTCAGCCATCGATGCGTTCAAGGTGCCTTGCAGTTTCATTACCTGCAGGAAAGGAAAAGCACATGAATGAGCCGGTGTCGTAAACTGCAAATCCTACCTTTCCCATATGTCGGCCGCGGGTGGTGTTTGAGGCCCGAAACAAAAAGCGGGCCGCCGGTTCGATTTATCAACGGCGGCCCTCCCTGGCTTGGCCCTCGTTACCCGGCACGTCTTGGGGGCGTGTTAAAAAAAAAAAAAAAAAAAAAAAGATTTCAAGCGGGGAAAGGTACTGGTGGTTCAAAGTTTAAACTTCAGATACTGTTAGTTTCATTACCTGTGGTTTCATGAATGAACCGCACCCTGGTTAACATGTTTGTTGGTGGTTCATTAACAATTTAAAACAAATAAACAAACAAACAAACAAGCAAATAAACAAACAAACAAACAAAACAGAGGGAGACAGCCAACTAAGAGAGTTATGGACCTCACTCCACTACTTGCCAATGTGACAAGTGGTGAAACGTATATTTCTGCTAAATGGAAAGGTTCACTTGCAATTTATACAACTAGCGAGAAGAGGGGAGTGAGGCCCTACGGATCTTCTTCAGGCCATAGAGCATTAGACTCATAGACCTCACTCCACTACTATTGACATGCGATGGTGTGACCCGTACTAGTTTTGATAAGTATGAGCATGGCGCTCGAGGTGGGGGTGGCGTGGCCAATAAGATGGATAAAATAAGATAGATAAAAACAATCATGGATATCACAAAGAAAAAGATGATGTGAGTTTTAATTTCATGGCGTCATCACCTCTCTCCCACCAATCCCTGATTCAAACACCATCAAAGACTAACTCAACACTTCTACTCATACGCCAGTCAAGTTGAGGATTCAACCTACGCCTACTCTCTATAAATATGTTTGTTACGAGCAATCCTAGGCGACCCAACACAGTCGCCTCAGGGAGGAAATTGATTCCTGCGTTCAAACTGGGTCAGGGCCGTTTCTATGCACCTCAGAAAAAGTCTGAGGCGAGCGCAGATATACGAGCAAAATTCCTTCGCCGCTAATAAAATTAAAATTAAATAAATTAAAATTAAAATTAAAATAACATACCTGGTTCACGTTTTTACCCAGGTACCGGTCTGGCACCATGGTGCGACAGTCACTCACCACCGCCCTGCGTCTGGGTTCCAAACACATTTACACGTCATACCATACTGCGAGCGCATGTTTCTTTCCAAAAACGACAAGCATTCAGGATCTGCACACGCAGACGATATCCCATGCTCCTATTCTCCGCATAGCCATACTAATGGCTGGGCGCCGAAAAACATCCAATACGCCCTGTGTCTAGGTTCCGAACACATTTACACGTCATACCATACTGTGGGCGCATGTTTCTTTTCCAAAACGACAAGCATTCAGGGTCTGCACACGCAGACGATATCCCATGCTTCTTATCTCCGCGTAGCCATACTAATGGCCCGGCGCCGAAAAACATCCAATATGCAGGCCGTGAACCAAAGAACTTGGTCCTTAAACCAGCATAGGTACCAAGTCTAGCACGGTAGCAGCCACATACCTCAGCCAACAGACACAACAGCACGTTTTGTCATAACACAACTACCGCACACTTTACACTGTTTACAGTTACTACCCAGTAGGTTTCCTGAGGATCTGTGTGCACATGCGATATCCTGCTGCTTTTATGAACCTCGCACCACATCGTGGCTGCGTCCATCCTTTCCGAGCCAATCGTGCACAATTTACTTCACCATGTCCCAAAACGTTTTCTGCTCACGGCGGGCCATCCATCGGAGCCCTGCGAGAACCACCTTGCCTGGGTAGTTGGACTTCCACAGCTCCTCCACTAACGTGAGGATGTTCAGTACGGTAAGTCCAGGATCATTCGAATTGTTCGAGATTCTCAGGATCGTGTTTGCAACCGCGGCAAACTTAGCCATGCGTGGTCCAAAAGATGAAAAATCTTTATACGTCCTGAATCTCAGCGGTCCGTTGCTCCATATTGTCTAAGCATTCTTGAACTTGTGAGACGATCAATCTTGTTTCCAGATGACCTCTTCAGATCACTGAAGTACAAATTGTGAATCGGGAAAAAAACTCAATTTTAAACCACCAGTACACGGCCTCAGAAAAATGAACTTGTCGCCACAAGGAAGTTTCAGGGCTCGGGGAAGGGCCGGTAGTGCGATGGGGGAGGAGGAGGTGGGCCCAGCGGGAAAGGGCAAATGGACTGTTGCTTTGCCCGCTGGTTCAGTCCGTGCATGTGAAAACACGTGCTCGGACGAGACAGCCTCAGATGCTGAAAAAAAAAGAAAATTGGAACTGTGGAATACACGTTCATGATGGCAAAACGCCCGCCACATGGCGGGCATGCAGTATAGGAGGGGGCATAAAGCTCTCCAACTCGAGGAAAACGGGCAGAAAAGCCTGCCATGGGAAAACTTTGCCGTGAATCAGGATTTAGTTGTCCATTTTTCTTTCGTCTGCATACGCTGTGACTGCATAAGGGCGCAGAAAAGTAAGGTACTTGGCAGTGATTCATGATTAGTTTTTCCGTTTTTCATTGCTCAGTATGTGCACCCATTCTGAGACTCCATTCGAGCACAGGAAAGTAAACTGCTCCCGCCTTCTCCACGGGGCCAAAAAAATAAAAATAAAAATAAATCCTAGTTCGAACTCCACTCGAAGCAGATGAGTGAAATACTGCAAATAATGTTCAATGCACTTATCATATCAGTGTGACATACTGAGAGATATATGCCAGGTCGTACGTTGTGTGATCTTAGCCTTATGTTTGCTAGTACACGAGGATGGCAGTGCACAAGGATGCTAGTGTACTACCGTCTTCACCCGAACAAAACGTCGCTGCATCTGGTCTGAAAGTTGCCCCAAATACAGCTATAATGACCAGACATTTTATTCGGGCGAAGACGGTAGTTTAGGCTAGAATGTACGAGTCAGGAGAGGGCATTAGCATGCAGCTGATCCGTACCTTGTCCTTGAGTTGCACTGCCTGAAGCGCATCCCATAGTTCCTGCTCGCTATGCTCACTGTTTGTTGGTCGATGTCCAGAGTTCCAACGTTCGAACACATCAGAGCACAACATAGAAAAAATAACTTGTTATGCAATCAAAATGTACACAAGGCCAAGAATCTCATCGAACAGCAACACATTACCTTGTCCAGCTACGAAGTGAGCACAATCTACAAAGAATTTGTACGGTCAAGACATGGAGCATAAAACTGCGATGGATTGTCACCTGAGAATGGAGTACATTACATGCACATGGTTGTTAGGAAATAGGATGCGCATCTATCTCACTCACGATTGTGTGTCTTAGCGGAAGCGGTAGATGGGACTCCGTAGTACAGGTGGAGGCACCCAGTACTCGGAACACATTGCGATCCTGGAATGAGTATAATTGGTTATGAGAGATGATAATATGAAAAAAAGAAAGAAAGAAAGGGTGCACTAATGGTTTTATAGAGACTCTCCAATGGTGACCAATCGGTGACCACATGCTAATCACCCTAGCAGAAAGAAGAGACACTCCAGTGGTGATCAATCGGTGGCTACATGCTAGTCACCTGAGCAGAAAGAAGATGAGAAGGGTGAGGGAGGAGCGCGAGATGGAGTCCGTGTTTTCTTTGAGATGTAATGCCTTGCACAAAGTAAAAGTCAGTCCCAAAAAAAGAAAAAAGAAAAAAAAAAGAGAGTGAGTGGGGAATGGACACAGAGAACATAGAATCCATTTCTCCCACAACGTTACCACGTGTCCAGAGCTTGCTGGTTTACTTGTTGCGACCTTTCTTTCTCTCTAATGTTTATCCTTTTGAGCGACCTTGATTACACCACACAAAACACACACGGAGCACAGAGACAGAGAGGGGGGGGCG